TTTACTCGCTACACCAACACTATTATTATATTCGCAGCGTGAGTTCTTCTTGTCCATACAAATTGAACGAGATGTGCTCTCTCTTTCCGCACTTACGTCGAAGGCTTTGCGAGAATCGTCCCTCGCTCCCGCGGAACGATCTCTTATTCGTTTATATTTTTATCCCCTTCCCCTTCTCTCGTGATTGATAAATTGATAAATATCGATAAACTTTGGAAAATTAGAGAATCGATGGAACGATACGTCGAACAACAACGAATAATAAATGTTATACGTTTATTATCTTCGATTCGCAGACCCTGTGAATCGAGCTTTCCCTCGAAAAAAAAACTTTCTGTTCAAACCAATTCTCTCCCCCCCTACCGCCCACCCCCGTTCCCCGTTTTAATTTTTACATTTTTCTTTTTCGTTCGATCTTTTTCAACAAACCCACCTTAATAAATAATCGAGAGACTTCTCGATGGTTTCGATTAAACGTCTCGATTTTGGGAACTGCAGTTGGTCCCCCAGTCTGCGAATGTCGGGCGAGACCGGCCAACTGAGAGATTTCATCGAAGATCTTGGGCCTGGACAAGTGGTCGGGAGGCAGGCACTCGGTGCTCGCTGCCTTGGCGAGATTCAGCTCTCGCTCTCTCAGAAGAAAGGCTTCCTCGAAGTGGAGGTCATACGTGCCAAAGACCTTAAACCGAAACAGGGCACTAAAGCCATTCCAGGTTCGTTCGGTCAATTCTTGGACCTATTACTTTTATTCGCACCATGGGTTATTTTTTTTTTTTTTTGTTTTTAACACATTCAGTGGCTGCGTCCAAAATCGAAGCGAGTCTCCAGTGAAGGATTTATTATTAATATTGATTTTAAATGAAAAATGGGTATATACAGTGACGATACCAGCCAGATCTTGAATGTGTTGAAACAATTCTGATTTATTTATTTATTAATCAATCCGAATCATTTTATTATATCGATCCTCCAGCTTCCTACGTGAAAGTTTATTTGGTGAACGGGAAGAAATGCATCGCGAAAGCGAAAACGACAGCAGCCAGGAAAACGTTGGATCCATTCTACCAACAGTCGTTAGCCTTCAGGGAAAATTGCCGGGGTTGTATACTGCAGGCAAGTATACGCCGATCCGCGATGATCCCCTCCCCCTTTCATTAAATCGTGTATATAATCGTAATCGTATTCGCGAGATTCTAATCGGTTTAAGAGATTTCGATATTAATCGCCCCGTGTCTTCCTTGCCGATGTTACAGGTGACAGTATGGGGTGATTACGGCCGATTAGAAGGGAAAAAAGTGTTCATGGGCATTGCGCAGATCGTGTTGGACGAACTGAACCTCAATGAGATGGTGTTCGGGTGGTATAAGCTGTTTGGCAACATATCCCTGGTCAGTGGACCTCCATCCTTAGCTTTGTCCCGTCGATCCTCGGCCACGTCCTTAGAGTCCTTTAAGATTTAAACAGCTCTTCCATCTGGTATTCTCTTTTAAGTGTAATCCGACGCTAGTTTTCGAACTTCTTTTCGAGCACAATTCCCACGATGGAAAGAGTTGAAAAAAAAAAAAAAAAAAAAGGTAAAAGAAAAGAGAGAGAAGAAAAAGTATATAAA